TATGGTAATATAACTGTTTACCTATCTTCTTGTTAGATGCTCATGATAGGCAGGGAACTTTTTTTGAAATCCAGAGAGCCTAGTGCATTGTCTACTAAAAATAAAATGCCAAGTAAATATGTGAAGAAATGTATATATCTTAGACTCAAAACCATATGCTCCAATTTACATAAACATTGAGAATTTTATTTTGGACAAGAAAATGTGAACAAGAAAAACTTCCTTGAAATATTAAAAGTGTTTTTTTTTTTAAATCTTAGAGAGAGGAACATTGATGTGAAAGAGAAACATCTATCAGTTGCCTTCTGTTCGCTCCCTGATTAGGTATTGATTGTCGGGACACAGTCCTCTACAAGTCTCATAATTTCACACATCTTGGAGGCACCAATGGCCTTTCCTCGGGACTATCTTTTCAAAATTGAATGTACAGCTAGCAGACTTGGAGGAAAGTGACTCCCTCTGTGACAGAAGGAAGATTTATTTCCTAATCATGATAATAAGACAATATCTACTTCTGGGGCAAAGTTCACATAGACTTACAGTCCATTATGAAAGATTCAGGTTTCCTAAACTCAAAGTTTCCTGTAATGTGATCAACTAGTATGCAGGAGTGAGGTGGCTCTCTTCCTGTCATTTGTGGACACTCAGACTTCAGAAATGTATGCAAATACTGACCCTCTGAATACCTCTATTGATATGATTAATTAAGTCCTTTGTTTCTGACCAGGAGTCTGTGCTGTGAAGTTGGGGAATGGAGGAAAGGAAGGTATCAGCAGCATTGATATTTTCCCACCCACCCTGCTCCCTTCTACTCTGTCTACTATACTTCCTAATCCACCAAGTCTAGGATGTTTGTTTTCTTAATTCCTCTACCTATGTTAATAGCACCTCAAGCAAAACATCATGATTAGGATCACCAACCTTGGCTCTGTAAAGGAGAAAGTAAAGGAGTTTAGAAAACCCTGTGGACTCTTTTTCTCCATAAAAACTTGTGAATTTTGGTGTCAAAGCTGAGTATTAACACTTTTTTCCTTTTTGCATTCCTGTTTTAAAAATTCTAAACCTCCCCTAAGCAAACTTATTGGCAGAATAGATTCAAGATTAGCATAAGAAAAATGCAAAACAGAAAACTTCATGAATATTCTTAAAAAGTATCATTATTACTAGCTCTCAGGAACTACTATGGAGTGATTCCCATCTCCCACTAATATGTAGAATCAACCAGTACATTGTGGTTAAGTTTGGAAGCACTCTTTGCATAGAATGTTTCTTTGGTGTAGCTGGCTATTTCAATTCCTATATTTCTACCCCTTTAGAAAGCTCAGTGTCCTTCATGCTAGATAAAGAAACTGAACATGTGGAAACCTATTGAACAAAACCAAGGCATTCCTGTAGGCATTTCTACATTCATGACTCTCTCCAGCCATTGCTCAGAGCTGAAATATGTATCCTACTCCCATTCTCAATGCCATTGTCAGCTTCCCTAAGCATAACTCAGAATGGTTGCAAAGCAGCTGAAAGAGAGGACACTGTCTAGCAATGTGATAAAGTACATTTTATTTCTATTTTGAGAAGTGTGTCACTTTAGATTTTCACTAGGATGACATTGGGTTGATTTTTCCCATTTATATGTAGTATTTAAGTTAGAACTCATATCACCGGGGGTGAACTTTATTTAGGGACTCCAAACTGCATTCTTTTCCTGGATCTAAAGTATCAATTCAGTTTTTACAAGGTGGAGACAGGGAGGTCAGTCAATAAGTCCACCAACAACATTGAGTCACCTTCTTTCTGCTCCTCTCGGATGCACACTGAAAGTCATTTGAGTACTTACTGTTCTCAGTTTATCTCAATTCAACATATTGATCATTTGCTAGGTAATTAGCATGGTTCTGAGCATTGAGTGGAATATTTAATAAGTACCTGGAGCTTATAACCTTATTGGGTCAACGTGATACTTGAATGGAAAATAATATAAGGCAAAATAAAAACTGTGCCAAAATATATAGTAAACCAAAAGAAATGGAAGCATATATCTATTACAAAGGTTTGCATACAAATGTTAATAGCAGTTTTACTCACAATATCCCCAAACACGAAACAACCTATATTAGTTTCCTATTTTTGTATAACACATTACCCCCCAATTTAGCTACCAACAAACACTTATTATCTCACAGTTTTATAGATCAGGAATTTGGGAGCAGGTTAGCTGGGTTATTCTGGCTCTGGGTCTCCCATGAAGCTACAGTCATCTGAAGTCTGGTCTGAAATTAGATTTGCTTCCAACATGGCTCACTTGCATGGCTGTTGACAGTTTCCCATTACAAGGGCTTCTCCATAGGGCTGCTTGAGTTTCCTCACATTACGGTAACTGACTTCCCCGACAGTGGGTAATCCAGAAGAGAGCAAGGAGGAAGTCTCAAAAGTTGCATGCTATCACTTCTGCTTCATTCATTAGAAAAGAGTTGCTAAGTTTAGTCCACAATGCAAAGATATGAAATTAGGCTCCACTTCTTAAAGGAACTAGTATCAAAAACCTTGTGGACATATTTTAAAATCACCATACAACCTAACTGTCTACCAAAAGGAGACTCCATAAAGAAATTGTTTGCATGTTGTACAATGGGATACCACACAGCAATAAAAACTACTGAAGTTCTTTTTTTTTTTTTTTAAACTACTGAAGTTCTGATACACATATGACATAGATAAATCTCAAAATAAGCATGCTAAGTGAAAGCAGTCAGACAACAAAACAAAACAAAACAAAAAAACACACACAGACTGGAGGATTTTATTTATATAAAATTTAAAAAACTGCACACTAAGCTATATATAGAGAAAGTAGATCAGTGGTTGCCTAGGGACTGGGTTTGAGGGCATGGACTGATAAAGGGAAAGAGGGAGGGATTTCAAAGGAACACAAAGAAACTTTTGGAGGTGATGGACATACTAATTATCTTGTGACAATTTTAGAGATATGCAAATATGTCAAACTCTTCAAATTGTAAGTTTTAAATATATGCAATTGATTGTATACCAATTATACCTCAATAAGGCTGAAAATTTATGGTAAAGACAAGAATTTCTTAAGTTCATATACTAATTATATTTTCTAGAACTTTATTTTTTAGTTCTGTCTTTTTGGTCCCCAAATAAAATTAATAAGTCTGGGACTTATCCACTACAGGGTAGTTTTCAGCACTGAAGGAATATAATAACCTCTTTTAACATAAGGTAACACTTTTGGGATTCTGGGTTCTTACTCAGTTAATCAACACACTTCAGGTTATTTTTATTTAAAAAATATGCCTTGAAGAGCTTTATATAGCCAACAATGTCTATTTTGTTTTGTGTGGTCATCCAAAATTAAAACAGTTTCTTCCTCCACAAATATGCTCCTTTATCTCAATTTATTAAATCATTCACTCAGAACCATGATCTAGAAACATCTACTACTTCTTCATTGACATCTTCCTTAACCCACCCCTCACAATATGTTTACTAAGTCAACAAATATTCATTGAGCAACAATTATACGCCAGACATTGTACTAGTTATTTGGTGTCCAGGGGGAAGCAAATGTCCTTGATTAGTCCACAATGCCTCTTATGCCTCTTACATTTTTGTGGAGAATTTAGTCTCCAAGTCTGGTCAATTCTATACTGAAAATGCCTCTTATATCTTCTCTGTTCCCCATTCTCATTGTTTCTGATTCTGTTTAAAAACTCATCATCTCTTGCCTAAAGTAAGTTTCTAATTGGTATCTGTCTTTTTTCTCTTTTCAGACTAGCTTGTTCTCCATAGAGCTGACACAATCTTCTAAAATGCGTATCTGATTACGTTATCCTCTGATTCAGGTCATTTTTGATGGACCCATATTACCAACTGAATGAAGTCCAAGTCCCCTCCATGACTTGACCACTGCTTATGGACTCAACCTCCCCGACGCGCGTCCCTCATTTATTCTGGCATATACTGTACTACCCAAAGTTCCTCATCACGCTGTGGGCTTACATCTGCTAATGCACTTTGTTTCTGCTTGGAAATGAATGTTGATCTCCCCTTCACCCAGTAAATTTCTGTGCATCCTTCAGGACACCATTCACATGAAACTCCTTTCTAAAAAATACCTATTCATAAGCCAAATTTGTCAGTTTCTCAGTCTCTCAAACTCCCACTCATTTGTGTGTTCTTATAATTTAGCAGTTATCAAAGTATAGTGCAACTAAGTATTGAGGAAGAAAAAGCAGCCTTAGCTCCCAGCTAGGCCATGATGTTATCACAGAAAATCAAAATGACATGAAATTACTGAGTAGCTAATCCATTTAATGAATTAAAGCATAAACAAGAACCCTCCATAATCATATCTGAATACAGACAAAAACAAGGACACTCTACTAATCACAGAAAATAAGCACACATCCCCCTTCCCCAGATAACACAAGAGGCTGCTGCTTCTTTACCAATTCCAGGTTTAACCCCATTCCATTCCTCCCTTCTCCCACATAAATATTATTAAGATATCTGGTCATAGAATTGCCCCACTTTCTCACAGTACCTAATCCAAACCAAATCTCTGCTTCCTTGAACTTTCCCCCAAATTATCTAACACCAAATCCTATAAGTCCCCCCAACACCCTTTATCCCCCATGGTGTGAGGTCTCGTTTGCTGCAGTAAATAATAAGTCCACCTTTGTTGGAATGCAAGTATATTTCTGGTGGGGTTTTGCTATTGGGCATCAAAGCATTTACTTATTTGATCTTTCTACCAGACTACGAAGACTTTGAGATCTGGGGCATTCATTCATTCATTTTGGGACTCCCTGTACCAAGCACACTGCCCGACTAGATACTGAGTATATGTTTGCAGGACAAATGAATGAATGTGTATTTTATGATTGAAGGCACACACTTCAACACCAGAAGTTGCTTTCAAAAATCATGCTTTTTCTCATCAGAGTGCCCTGCTAGTCTGCTACTGACTGAGTTTGCTTTTACATGCGCAGGTGCTCCTGTGGTGGTGTTATTGGCTTTGGCCCGTTCCCACCATCAGCAGAGCTGATGTCTTCATTTTTGCAGTGGCAGTGTCCTGCGTTGTACCTGCGCAGTTCTTCACGATCCTTACCTTTCCCAGCATGCACAGCTACACTGCCCACCAGGAGTGAGGATGCTGTTACGCCAACTATACATTTCTGGAAATAAGTCACAGTAGGAAAGCAGATTAGGACAGTTTAAAGTGGGGGGAAGAGAAGCTATGAAAAACTAGGAAGAAAATTGATTTCTGACTACAGTTAGACCTCATACTTTCTTTGACTTCATGGATGATTCAAGATAGAGTATAGTTGTCCTCTCTCTTCAGGACTTATTTCTATCTATAGATTTCCAGAGCCCTCTCAACTTTAATCTGATGGATCTTTCTGTTTTGTGCTTTGGTAACATATTATTCAAAGTGGAATAAAAAATTCTAGTTCTAGTTCTAGCACTATCTTGTTCAGTATAGCAGAGTGCTTAAGAACTAAATTTTTTTGCATCAGAAAGACATGAACTGGAATCCAGACTCATCCAATTCCTGAATATGTGACTTTCAAGTCACTTAGTCTTTCTCAATCTTAATTCTCACCTATAAAATAGGCATATCAATAATAAATACCCGATAGAGTTGTGGTAAGAATGAAATGAAATGGCATATAAAAATCTTCCCTGATGCCCAGCCAGGCATGGCTCAGTGGTTAAGCGTCGACCTAGGATCCAGGAATTTGTGGTTCAATTCCCGGTCAGGGGTGTGCAGGAGGCAGCCAACCAATGACTCTCTCTCGTCATTGATGTCTCTATCTCTCTCACTCCCTTCCTTCCTTTCTTTGAAATCAATAAAGATATATTTTTTTAAAAATCCAAGCATTCAAAAAATATATCTTCCCTGGCACATAAATTGCTCAAAAATTATAGCTGTTATTAATGTAATTAGTTTATTATTTTTCATTAGCAGAAACTGCATTTCTAAATCCAGGGTGGAAGTAAGATACTATACATTATATTATATAATGTACTACTTTATACATTACCATGATATGTAACATATCATGTACATTATAGCATATAAACTAAAATATAATGGTTTATATTATAGGATTTAGTCAAACTTGTCATTTCAGTAATAAAAATTTTGCACAACTGGTACATGTATATTATATCTTGCCTGAAATAAACTAAATCTAGAAAAATAAATTATTCACAATACCTATCACAGTGGGAGCGTTAGTGATTGGACTTGATGACTTTCCAGATTCCCTGTTGTCAGAAAGAGAACAGTGAATTTCATAAACAGCAGGACAGACCAAACCAAGTGGGAAAAGATGCAGAAAGTAGATTGGCCCTTGGGAGGGATAAATGTTATTGTCATATCCACCTGCAGATGACAAAAGGGAGTTCAGTCAAACTGGAAATGTTAACAAGAATGGTGCAGGTAATTGGTTGGACTAAGCAGACCATTAGCAGTGGCGAGAATTCAAGAAAGAGTTGGAACACAGCAGAGCAATGGGGTGAAATACGTAATTAAGTTATATTAGTATTAGCAGTAGCTAATATTAATGAATCCTTCTTATATGCTAAGAGTTGCACTTGTTAGCTCATTTAATCCTCATAACACTCTAATCTGGTGGACACTATATTATTTCTATTTATAAGTGAGGAAATGGAACTAAAGTGGAAAATGGTGAAACCTGATTCCAAACAAAAGTACTTGTCAGGTCTCTTTGGGTTGGAGTTTCTTCGGTATATTTAATCTCTGACAATGTATTATTCATGTTTAGAAGATCAGTTTGGATCATTTTTATATCTTTCATGTTTGTTCTTAACATGCTTTTGTTTTCTTCCACATTGTGAGCATATGGAATACAGGTGGGATAGCTCTTTTTTGTGTTGTTTATTAATTCTATCATTTGCATAATTTCTGGTTCCATTTTGATTGCCTGAATAATTTCTTCCTTATTAAGGATCCTATTTTCCTGCTTCTTTGAATGCCTGGTAATTTTTGACTGTATGACAGACATTGAAAATTTTACTTTGTTGGCTGCTGGAAATTCATGCATTTAAAAAAATATTCTTGATCTTTATTATTAGACAGTTTAATCTTTTTGAAACTTGCTTTTAAGTTTTGTTAGGTGGAACCAGTTCAGCCTTTAGGGCTAATTTCACCCACTAGTGAGTCAATACCTTTCTGAGGATTCCACTTGATGTTCAATGTATTAAGCCATTTTTCTGCATTAACTCGACAAACACCAACTCTTCCTGGCCTCTGGTGAGTGACCTCCAATGATTGCTCTATTTAACCCCTTTGGGTGGTTCTTTCCATGGCCTTGGATAGTTTCCTCATATGTATAAAATGATCAGGACTCAGGTAAAGATTTGGTGGGAGTTGGAAGGAACTCTTAACTCCAGAGTTCTGTTTATCTGCAGTTCTCTTTATATCTGATTCTCTGCTCAAACTCTGGTTTTATTGGCCTATGTGAACCCCCAATTTTGCCTTTCCAACTCAAGAGAATGCCCGATTTCCTCCTCTCTGCATTGCATCCTGAAAACTTTCTCTAGGCAATAAGCTGGAGCAATCTTGGAACACATCCCATTGGATTTCTCTCTCTCAGGAGTAACTGTCATGTGCTACCTGCTCTCCAATGTCTGAAAACCATTGTTTCATCCCTGCCCCCCACCCCCAACCACCACTTTTTAGTTTGTTGAGACTAGTGGGTATTTCTAGTCTTTGTTTTTCCATCTTGACCAGAAGTAGATGTCTCTGGTATGTTTTTACAAAGTTCCCTGAAGCTACATCCCGAGTGAGCACATAATTTATATCCTAAACAAAATGCACACAGTTTAATCAACACTTTCATGAACACATAGCGTTCTACCTGGACTCAGTAAACTCTTCATTTTTAAAAACATATATCTTATTGATTTCAGAGAGAGGAAGGGAGAGGGGGGAGAAAGAGATAGAAACATCAATGATGAGAGAGTCATTGATCGGCTGCCTCCTGCACGCCCCCACTGGGGATCGAGCCCACAACCTGGGCATGTGCCCTGACAGGGAATTGAACCACGATCTCCTGGATCCTAGGTCGATGCTCAACCCCTGAGCCACGTTGGCTGGGCAATAATTGTGGTTTATGTTGTTCAACTGATATGGCTTTCTGACCAAATAGTTTGCTCCTTTAAAAATTCCAAGAAATTGGTAGTGACTGTCTGATCTATTGTTGGTGTAAAGAATTCTGAGATTGTGTTTGGACTAAGCTGAAAAGAATGACTTTTATTTTACTTTAAAAAACATTTTTAAGAAATCCTCACCTGAGAATATGTTTTTATTGATTTTAAAGAGAAAGGGAGAGGGGGAGAGAGAGAGAAACATCAATGTGAGAGAGAAACATAGATCGGTTGCCTACCATACACACCAGGACCAGGAATCAAACTCACAACCTGGGTATATGCTCTGAATGGGGATCAAACCCATGACCTTTTGGTGTATGGGACGATGCTCCAACCAACTGAGCCACATCAGCTAGGGCTCCACAGTTAATTTTTATTCCAGTATGACCTGTTATACGTATTAACATGGCTCATGTTCTGAATTAAGAAAGGGTAACTACATCTGGCTCTGGTTTCATTGGGTTGCTTGGCTTGGGTAAGTCATACAGAGTTACCTAAGTTTCTATTTCTACAAAGGTAAAAGGTTTACAACACATATTCCACAGAGGTTGACTAATGATGAAAAATATATTGCTTAGTTATATATATATATATTTTTATAGTATATATATATATATATATATATATATATACTATAAAAATATTTTTTAATTGACGGAAAAAAAAAATTTAGGTTAGTGATCAACTTTAGGGAGCAGGAAGAAGACAAAGGGAAAGATCTTACAAATATAGTAATTTTATTGTTCTTAAATTGGGTACAGGGCTCATAGTGTTTATTTCCTTCATAATTATTATCCTTTATAACTTATATAAATATTATATATATCTTTTGAATGTATAAAATATTACCCAATAAAACATAAAATAAGAAAAAAATAATTCCTTTGATAAAACACACTAGCATTTGAGTAAAGGATACTCAGAAGAGCAAAAAGATTCAGTTCAGTTCCCTATCCCTACATACATCTGTATTCTATGTTAGACTCTTCTAGTTTAATTTAACACATATGAAAGAGATTGCACAGGGTATTATGGGAGATAGTCGACACAAGCCTACTCTGACTTTCTTGTGGACACATAAAATATAATTTAACTCATATAAACATAATTTCTTCTGTGCTTATTACATATCAGTCACTGTGCTCTATACTAAGGATTCAAATATAGAAAAGTCTCTCTACTTTATAGTATTTCAATAGTACTGTTGGCCTCATAAGCTTGTATAGAATCCATTTGAAATACAGGAGAAGCTGCATCCAAGTCAAAGGTGACAGGAGACACAGACTGGGGTGACTTAACAGTTTCTAGTTCCCACAGTGGCTGAGCTTGATTTATCTGCCATCTCATCTAGCCATGTTATCTCTGCCTAGAATTTGATATGTGAGCAAGAATGGAAAGCTATTGATCTTAAGTCACCTTGGGGTAGGACTCTGGAGGGAAAATCCTAAGGCTCTTGCTGCACGGGTCCCTGGGGTTGCCCAGGTTTCTATTCTCTCCAAGGTTGAATTGCTCAGCTCTTCCTGAGATTTCTGGGAGGCATCAAGAATTTTCCCAATAAATCTTCTGTTTCTATTCTTTAACCACAATCCATTTCTGTCCCTTACAACCCATGAAATTTACCAGGTGCTGGAGGTTTCAGAATAGAGGCAGCATTTGAACTGAGACTTGAAGAATAAACATGGATTTTCTAGATAGACATCTAGGCAGAGAATATAGATTTTCAATTTGCATATTGGCTATTTGTCAGAGCCAGATTATTTTCACCCATAATAGTCCTTTGGAATCTGACTGGTCAGGGTGGACAATAGGAACAAACACTACTGAGAACAAACTTGAAGGATCTAGGAAAGACTGCATTAAAAGATGTCTCTTTTCTTCAGCAATCCATGTACTGCAAGTTTTTGAGCAGATACCAAGTACAGATTTATGTTTTTGGTGGTGTTAGTTTAAAAACTAGTTATTTCATGCCAAGAGAAGTTTATATACACAAATTATA